ATCGGCAGATCTAAGTACCTTGTGAATCGACGTTATGTGAAGCATGCTTACATTGGGTGATTGTGTTGTATTGTAATTAGCGAAAACTCACGAAATTAAGGTAGCTATGAATACTAATGGTATTCACACAGACAAGTGTTTCATATAAGCAGTCATTTGAACATCCGTAACGACTGCAAAAGCAACATTATAGTATAAGAACATCATAAGCCAGTAAGCTGATATGTAGCACTTGTGCTCGCGAAGATGGTAACCCTGGACACTGCTACATAAATCATCTTCAGTAGATGGCGCTCAACTACAATAAACGTTAACCCGACATGACGGCTACATCGTAAGATTACGTACGTAATGTATATAAAATTGGATAGCCTGCGTTGCCACCACAGTTAACGTTTCACCAACATTACACTTAGGTAGTATCTTTTACCAAAGCATCGAGACCTTGCATGGCTCAGGGGTAAAATAATTGAATGCCACGCTGAATGTCCGGGTTCAATTCATGCCGATATTCAGCATTTACATTCGTCGGGTGAACGCTGCTGATGTTATTTTTTTTCGTAACGCTCTCACGTTAAAATTGCCAACGTTTACTCTCGCCGTTCCTGGGTACACGCAGACTATAGATTACCTGAGGAACATACCCGCACACCTGTGGCACATATCCACTGGGTATAGACGGGTATGCGCCACACGTGTCTGGTTGGAAGTGTTTGATGACGTAGGCGACGGGATTGTCGCATTTCTGATGTGATGGCCAGTAAGTTTTCATCGTTAAACCATCTGAACCTTCCATACTAATACTGTTTCCCGCCAAGCTTCCCATGATCCACAGTGGCACCTAAACAGATAAGGTGTCACAACGAGGAGCCCAGTTTAATGCCTGAACATGACTTTAGCAGTCACTATTTTAAAGATGTGAATGGCGAGAACATCCATGTATTTTGGTTGAAATGTGTGTTAAAGAGCCTCAGGTGGTCAAAATTCATGCGGGGACCTGAGGCCGTGCCTTGTAATCATAATTTTTTGTCACGCACCAAATTGTGAAAGCTCATTATTGATGTTGGTGCGTGTCCATGGTTTTGCAGGCCGATACTTCCACCATGCCTCATCGGCCCGTAGGAGAACGAAGGGTCATTGTGTCCGGTGGTTCACACTATCTAGGAGAACGAAGGGTCATTGTGTCCTGTGGTTCACACTACCGTTTATCGCGTGATAGCGGCTGTAACAGTGGATTGCTCAATGCTTTCACCGAAGGTGGCAATAAACTGTCGGTATTTCGCCATCGGAATTGCAGCATGATCAGAGACCAGGAAGTAGCAACCTACGTGGATGATGGAATGTATTAGAAGCTGAACGGCTTGAGAGGGACGTTTTTGCGCAGTCACGGGTAATTTCCAGCAGTTTCGGTTGCTATATTGTTCACAGTTATGGTACATTCAACGTTCTGGTTTTTAAAGCTCCAGGGTGCCGGCAAAGCACCGGATCTTCGTCTGGTCGAAATGAATCGCTTTGAATAAAGTAAGCTGAATTTTTCAGGGCACCATACTTCCGCTCTAATTTTGCTCTAGTTTTGAACGCACAGCACAACCCACGTGTGGTTGCGAAACTTTAGTGCATTTTCGGTATCAGAAGTAGGAGAACGAAAACAAAAACGAACGTTATGAAAATCAGTCAGAGGCACTAGAGGCGCTGGGCTTTGAAGACTCACGTAGGCTACAAACAAAAAGCAAACATTGGGGGAGAAGAGGCCCTGCCCAAAAAACGAACATGTCTGGCTGTCCATCACATCTTCAGTTTGGTTCTGACGCCAGTCGGTTGCAAGAATAGGTACTCTTTGTGGAAGCAAGAACTAGTAAAGCAAGACAAGGGGGAAAGCAGGTGAGCTGCAGCTGAATCTGGAGAAGCATTTGAATGAATGCGTCTACAGTTTGACATGAAGACCACTTCATTCTAAGAAGCCGGTGTGTTTACGAAAGGAACTTTAGCTGCAGCTAGTGAGGACGAGAAACAGCACAGCAGCAATTTAATCCGCTGACGTCGTTCAAGCTATCAGGTTCAAGCTATCAGGTTCAAGGTATATTTTAAGTTATCAAGTGTACAATCAGACACTGAGGCTACTCAATACTACGAGGCTGGAGAATATGTGAATGTATCAGCACGTAAAGTTCTCTCTGGGAAACCAGAGCACTGTACTTAGCTGAGTTATCAAAACGAATGCAGTGTACGAATCATTGTGAAGCAGGAGGGCAGAGTACAGTGACATTTTGAGCTGGGTCACTGTTAGAGTACTTTTGTTCTCGGTAGGTGAAATCACAACTAGTTAGGCATACATTATTGCTTCATTTGTAAATAGTACCACCTGGTTCCTATAGTTGTGCGGGGTGGTACATTCCGAATCATTTTACTTTTTTACAGGTTTGTTGCATGCTTAAGAGTTTCTGAACTGGCCCCGCCGTGGTGGTCTAGTGGCTAAGGAACTCGGCTGCTGACCCGCAGGTCGAGGGTTCGAATCCCGGCTGTGGCGGCTGCATTTCCGATGGAGGCGGAAATGTTGTAGGCCCGTGTGCTCAGATTTGGGCGCACGTTAAAGAACCCCAGGTGGTCAAAATATCCGGAGCCCTCCACTACGGCGTCTCTCATAATCATATGGTGGTTTTGGGACGTTAAACCCCACAAATCAATGAATCAGTTTCTGAACTGTCTTGACAGTCACATCGCTTCCCCGAAAATCATGAACTACGCTCTTTACGCATGCGGTTTGGACAACGTGCACATGAATTCCATGAAATAGCGATCCACCACAAGTTACTCCTTTATGTTTCAAAAGCATTTACTTTAGCAATATGACACAAGAAACGTTATATAAGACAGACAGACCACACGAAAAAGGCATCACATGCACTGAGCAGTGATAAGGTTCAATGACCAAAAATATCAAAGTAGACAAGAGTGTTACAAACAATACTTATATTGTCGATAAGATATGAATTGTACACTAACTGCACAAAGCTTTAGAAACAGCGGAAATGGTCGATCTTTGGCTGTTGCTACATCTTACATTGGCGCATACAGCATAGAGTTGAAATTCAGTCGATCCCAACCCTAGCAGCAATGTCTAAACACCAGTGCCAAGAACTAAAATAATAACGAAGCCATCGTTACACCGGTGGCAGCGTGGTCTTTTCAAAGCAAGCACTCGGCTCTCGGCACTTCTGGGAAACTTCACGTGGCGGATGCTTGGGCTCCCGTCTGTGGCAGTGACTTGGCGGTGGCTGGCTCGACTGTGGATGCGTAACATGATGGGGAGGGCTTGATATGTGACCGCGTAGACCGCGAGGCGGCTCCAGGAGCGCGCAGGGGGCATTGACGAAAGCGTCGCTGCTTGGGGAGAGCTACAGACTTGACAATTTCGGCGGAATCGGCAGTCAGTTTTCCGGTGTTTTCTGAATTTGTGCTTCTGACGGATGTCACAACTGTGTGTTGTACGCTAGCGATGACGGCTAATACTTGCTGTGTGCCGGGTGGTCGTTCAGGCTAGAGAGGTGTGACCAAAAAAGGTTGTTATGTTTGACGAGGGATGATGATGAAACGGACGAATGAAAACGTGCTATACCACGACGTGCAGTTGGTAGATTTACCTTCATTTCTGAAAACATTACAATGTGCAAGAAACATTTCGATGCCATTGGCGCTAATAATACTGAAGGCTTCGTAGGGAATGGAGAAAAAGGTGCCTGTGTGACGCGAGAAGGCGAGTTGCAGGTTGGCGCTGTTTCTTTGGGAGCTTGCCCGTTTTTTTAGGTTCTTTGCAGTTTATTAGGTGTTTTGCATTCCTTTTTGTACGCGGTTGTTTAAAGAGATTTGTTTATTTTTTATTCACTCAATGTCAGCAAAAGCTAATGTCTGTATTTGAATAAATATACATAGGTTCATTGGTTCATACATAGGTTCATTGAACTTGCTGCCTTCAATCACTGACCTTGCACATAGCTTTTTTATGCTAGAAAAAGTGCCCGTCATGAATATCTGGTTTCAAAGGTTATTTTCTAAAATTTGTTCAAATTTTTAACCATAGAGTTCTTTGTTACCTATAACTTAGTGGCTTGACCGTGTGAAGTTCTTAAACATATGCCTAAAATAGGCAGTATAAAAATATGAACTCACCGGGAGTTAACAGTTGGTCCACTTTGCAAGTTTAGAGTATTCTGCCTATGTTGCGTTTTTCACGTTCTGAATAATTTTAAAGTGCTACAAAACCATGCTTGTGAACACATCTGCTTATTTTCGCTAGATTAGAGAGAGAAACATGGCTTGGTCTCAATTAATCAAGTCTGCTCTCTAAGAAGGGTTCGAAAATCTTACTAAATCACGATGGTCTAAACGTCGTTCGCCTATAAGCAGTCAATGGAACTGCACGTTGTGATTTGTCAAGGTTCTAGAATAACCTAGTGACTCTGCTACATACGCTGCAAAATTTAAATTTGTGACGCACTTCCGCTCGTGCAATATTGTTCACGCCACATGTAGTTGTCCAAGTTACACGCCGGAAATGAAGATTACGTGGTTGCAAAGTCATACGTAAGGCTAGGCTACAGACTCTAGAGATCAGCGTGTGCTGAGGCTGCACATAAACGTTACCTTGGAAAAGCTTCGTCAATTATCATTTAAAGTGTTGCCAAATATATGTGTTAACACACATAAATTATCATTAGGCATGCTATATAAGGCCTGCCTGCTTCCTTTCTTCTTTCTTCCTCGATCTCACATCTCCACTCTCTTCCTTTTCATTCGTTTCTCTATACTACACATGGCTATGCTGTGCACTATTATCACCGTTTTCCTGAGTCAGTGGCCTTGTGTGGAGTCAGCGGCCTTGTGAGATAGCGAGTCAATGATCTTGTGTTGACATTTTTGAGCGTTTAGTACTTTTTGCCATTAAACGTGAAAAGTTCATTACTACACCAAGTTCGTGGTTAGTATATAAATGTGCAGTTGCAGTTAGAGTATGTCCCCAGTGCAAGGACATGAGGTAAGCGAGTTTTTTTTTTACTTTCGAGGTAGCCATATTTCGGGACGCTTTGCATACAATTAGCGGTAATTTATGATGGTGACATGCCATATGGTATAGATGAACTAACACTGATCGATCGAGAAATTCTTTATTATTTCGCTGAGGCTGGCCCATTGCGAGGAGTTATTTGCTTGTTTGGAAGAGGTTGGTCCACTTTTTTTGAAGTTCTTGAGGTTTTGAAAAAAAAACGCTATCATCAGTAATAAAAGAATGACCTTAATGTGAGATCCGGTGGACTTATGTCACCGATTTTCTAATAAGTGGGGACCCACCCAAGTTACAATGTACTTCGTTCTGCCGAGCACCAGGCCGGAACAAGTAGTTACCCGCCAGCAGCAGTCCTCTGCCTCCAGATCCTCATCTATTTCACCAAAAAAATGCGGTTGATTAAGGTGCACTTATAAACCACCTAACCAGATGAGTACCTATTTGGAACCGAACAACTTGTCGGCGTATTCATCTACCCAATGGAAAAAACCAGTGGATTAGAAGTAGTAAGCACTGCGAATCGAACCCTGCACTTCCCGCATTGCATGCAGGCGCTCCAATCTTGGAGCCACAACTGCAACATAGTTAGAGAATGAAAATTTGTTATCTCTGGTTAAGCACTACAAATTCTGTATTAAAGAGTTTTCAATGGTGCCGCCATTCAAAATGCTCATTCAGCCGTTTTCGTTAACTGACAAGCTTCGCAAATTGTATAAATGTGTTCTCATGTCCTCTATATGAACAATACTGTGGTAACTGTAGACGCATTGCTCGCATGCATAATGTCTAATATTAGATGCTCTTTAGCTTAAAGACTATCTAATTGTTATGAGAGTAACAAGCCACCACTGCAACAATAAACTTTTGAGGAACTTTAGATTCGTAAAAACAAACAGCTTCCGAGGGAGCACGTGGTTCTTTTCTAGAATACTTGATTGATAGGCAGAATGCAGCAGGTTTAATTCCTGCTGAGACCCTTGCCATTGATTATTTGCTTTCGTTGGATCTTTGCTGCTGATGTCCGTTTTTATTTGCACAGCATTTCTCACATTATTCAAGCATTTCGGCGTCTATCTATCTATCTATCTATCTATCTATCTATCTATCTATCTATCTATCTATCTATCTATCTATCTATCTATCTATCTATCTATCTATCTATCTATCTATCTATCTATCTATCTATCTATCTATCTATCTATCTATCTATCTATCTATCTATCTATCTATCTATCTATCTATCTATCTATCTATCTATCTATCTATCTATCTATCTATCTATCTATCTATCTATCTATCTATCTATCTATCTATCTATCTATCTATCTATCTATCTATCTATCTATCTATCTATCTATCTATCTATCTATCTATCTATCTATCTATCTATCTATCTATCTATCATATTCTGTCTGTCTGTCTGTCTGTGTCTGTCTGTCTGTCTGTCTGTCTAAAGAAACCGAAATACAGATAGACGGATAAATGGATGGAACAATTCACCGTTTACCAATGAAACATTCCGAAGCTACACCCCTCTCATCATCATGCACTTCATGCAGATGTGATTTTTAACGCGAGAGCGTTAAAGAGCTCGTTTCGCAGAGATTCCGGTGTTGGCGTTGGCGTCGTCAGTTGTGAGCGAAAAATCATCACCCTATGCATGACCGTATACTACGAGAACGATGAAAACAAAATAACTAAATGATAAAAACCCGGGAGCAGAGTGGGGACCAAAGCAGGCTTGTTTGGGTTCGAGTGGGGATTTAACCTGGGTCGTTTGCGTGGCAAGCGGATGTTCAACCACACGAGCACGCCTCTGTTTGTAAAAATGGTGAAAAGAACTTGCTATACTTGGAAACACTGTGAAAGTAGCTTTTAGGCTTGACAAACACACGCACCCTGTATCCCTTACGGAAATGCCATATATGGCACGTATATAAGTTATATCTGGCCACACATAAGCATATATGTCAGCATATGTGGCTTTGTTTACCATATATGGATGTATATCTGGCGAAGTCGATTCAAATAAGGTGTTATATACAACCATTTGTGCCACGGTTGGTCCATGTAAAGAATCAAATCCGGCCTTATAAGGCATCGCCACATCATATATACCATAACAAGTAGATCCCTATATGTGGAAGTGCTCCCTTGTATGGGATGAACCGCGTATATATATATATATATATATATATATATATATATATATATATATATTATATATAGCATCACGAATACAAATTATTATGTGGATTTTAAACATAAGAAGCCGTTCAGAAAGGTGACCTGCTTATTTTCTACAACAACAGTATTAAGTACACATATTGTTTTTGCAGTGCAATTAAACAAACAAAAAATTTGGCCAGCTTTGTGTACGTGATAGTTGCAACTATGCATGCAGTCATGCGCAATTAAGCTTGCAACAATAAGTTGCAATTATATGACAAAATTAAGTATAATAAAGCAGACATGTTCACAAGGAATGCGATCTTGCCAGGTGAAAAAAAACGTATTGAAGCTCCCGAACCTCGCCATTATGATCAAGCAATCCTATATAGTATTATGTGAAAACGGACATGCTTGCAACTTATATTGTTCACAATAATGCATAGTTTGGAGTGGCAGCAAGAAATGGCAATATCACTGCGTTTTTAGCTTGCACATCGGTGAACAAAACTTGCTGATTATTGGAAGGTTTTGAAGGCTATATGCTCTGTTCATTTAACAAGATTTCAGTTAATGTTGTTTACTTACCATATGTGATTTAGCCATAATATCGTGGGCAGTGCGATGTTTAAAAGAGTATCTTCGAAAACAAAAAAAAAACAACTTATGTGAATGCAACTCGCAGGCATTTATGTGCTTAAATTCAAGATGAAACCTGTACTAATTTTTTGCGAAAGTGCATCTTGTGTGTCCTTTGGCTACATATAACGTTTTTGGCTGTGCAGATAGTAAGCTTATCAAAACTTTATGCGTACCCTTCCCCAGTGCAGGGTAGCAAACCGGATGTGCGTCTGGTTAACCTCCCTGCCTTTCCTTGCATCTTTATCTCTCTCTCTGTCTCTCTCTTACGCGTGCACTAGTGAACGATTTATTTGGTGTACTGCTTTCAAGCGTCAAATAAATCTCACATTCTACACACTTAACCAGCATACGTCTAGAAAGGTGCAACTGACTCACACATGATACACGTTTATTGGACCATGTACTGAAATGCTGAAGCTTTTTGCAACCTTTAACGTAGGCTGCTGAATTCACCAACCTTCTATATTGTGTGGGTGTGTCATTATTTAGTTAAGTTCGCATGTAACTTGTCAGAAGTAGTTTAATATTACCTTTCGAATACAAGTAGAATCACACAATTATTGCGAACACGGGCTGGCATAATGCCTCACCAAAACTCTACATTATGTAAACAGCCCTCCGCGGCGCAACCGCGTGATAATTAAAACTACTTGCGCACTTATCTTTTCAACACTAACACTGTGGTGCATTTACTTATACTATATGCACGCCAGTACATGTACCAACCAAAATGTGCAATTACACACTCACGTATAGAGGTTGATGGACACCCGGACACTAGCTTTGCTTCAATGTGGCCAGATATTTCGGCCACGTGAGATTGATATGAGTGTATTATTATTATTATAGTATTGTTGTCATTGTTGTTGTTGTGTCTTATTGTGTTGCTTTTATTGCGAACGTCCAACTTGTCCATTCCATACTCTGTCAATACTTTGTCGTTACGTAAGGTTTCTGAGATCAGCAAGCTTGAAGTTCTTTTTGAATGCGTGCAAATTTTTTCTACTCGCAATAAATGTGCTGCCATACGAGGCCTTTGTTCTCTCTCTGTTGACAGAATGTCTTGAGAATCCAGTTCTTCTAGAGCATTCTACAAATTTTACACCGCGACTATTTCTTTCTCAACTTGAGTATATACCCATATCTGATCTGGAATGGCTTCGCTAAGTCCAGCAGTAACGCCACTGAGCGTGCCCAGAAAAAAATATAAGCCATGGCTTCACTACACTCTTTTCAACACTGCTAGAATATTGTCTTTGCCATTACTTAACGGCCGACAAAACCGCTCTGAGCTGTTATTTTTTTACAAGCCAGTTCGGGTAATATATTCTGCCCTTCTCAGTTGTAAATTTTCAAATTCCGCGTAAAGTATCCAGAGAGAGTTGACCATCGCATGTACCTGCCAGCTTCTTCCCACACTCTATCCTTCACAGTTTACCTACTCTCTGCAACGTCAACTTTCTTGATTTGTTATGTTTTTCATAGTCCACAGTCAATTTTTTATCAGTGAGGTTTGCCTTGTCCCAACGTAGATTCGCACATGTACAGATTCTTCCCATTTCTGTCTTTCAGGAAGCCTTTCACACAGTTTTGTATAATTCGCATTATTTTAGTCCCATTTTATGAATATCTGCTCTTTTATTTATTGTTCCCACTGTGCGTTGATTTCTTTTTGTCTGCGCTTTTTTGCTCTTTTTATTGATTTGCTTTTCTGTGTACAGTCTGTAATGCATTATTTCTTCTTATTGTTTTATTTTTGCGTGCGCGAGCACGGTAGACCTTGTGGTTGTTCCTGGATACGTTAAATAAATGATTGATTGATGATTAGTTGATTGAATAATAATAATATTGCAAATGCTTTGAGAAATAGGATGAAAATCTGGCTAGAACGCGTCTTGGTAGCCAGCATACACGAAGCAAGGATTTCAGCTTCACCGAATGCCTGTCTCAAAGGTCATGCACCTGCAGCTTTTTGGGCCCTGGGGGAGAATCTGAGCTCCCATGTCCCAAAAAACTCGCCTGACTGCACTGCAACTGTTAGCAAGTTATTTTGAGAAACTGCATATACCCATATCCATAGTTACACAAAATAATGTGATGTCACGTTTTAACCCGTGATAACTGTAAATAATTTTACGCAATCCGACAAATGAAATCGT